TGTATTTATAATAATAATAATTTATGGGGAATAATTTATGGATCTTGTAGCTTAAACTAAAAGTTTTAAGAACCAGTTAAACGTGTTCAATATTCCAAAAATACAACCTTGTTAATTTATCTTTATTTCTTTAAGGAATTTGTTATGTTTTTGAGAAGATGTCTAATTTTTGATTATTTAGATGGTCACTTGGTAAAATAAAAATGCTTTTAGCCTTCCACTTTGGTCTTTGCCTCATTCGGACTGGCAGCTTGGTCAAAATGAAACCATTTTTCTCCAAAATAAAAAGATTTAACAAGTGAGATTATAATTGCTCATAACCGTACGGTAGAATCACACTTGAAAAAGTTAGATTCCTCCCTTTAAGTTGTAAGTAAGTTTATTTCTGCTGCTCCTTCTTCACAGTGAATGAACTCACATGAAAGATTTGTTTTACGGTGGATGCCCATCCTGAAGCAACCTGGGCTCGAACCCACCACTTCAGGACAAGGCCAGGGCACAGCTATCGCAGCCCCACTTTAAATTGTCAGAAATTTTAACACCACCCACCCCACCTTATTAAACAAAGAAAAAAGTTTTGGATTTATTAGTTTTTTACAACATAAAAAAAAAAAAAACCTTCACATGCAAAAGTTAGACCAAACAAAATATTAATCAAGACACCAAAGACAAAGGTGGAATTATAATGTTTTTGTCTCTCTGTGTTTGTGGTGGGGGTCAGTACTGTTAGCAAAATATCTCATAAACTAATAAGCAGATTTGAATCAAACTCTCAGAATCTACAGGAGATTAAATTTTGAAGTTGATTCAGTTAAAGACGGTCACCACAGCCAAGTGAAATGAACAAACACACACAAAAAAAGTGCTCTAACATTTTGTGACTGATACCCAGTTTATATTTTAAGGTCTAACTTATCACAAGATGTGTTTGAAACTCGTGAACAAGATGAAATTCATTGGAATTCTCAGAACTTAATCATTAATTGAACTTCCACAATGATCACCTATTCTGAACTCTGTCATTACTCAACATCAAGTCCTTGGAAACACTCTGAAGGCGGCGGGTGATGTGCATTCCTTCATGAAATGCAATTGGCCTTACATTTAGATTAAAAAAAAAATCTATCAAATTGAAAATGAGCAAAACATTTTGTAGTAAATATGTTCTCATCTACTGTGTGTGGAAGTATTCCCATTTTCATGTGATGGGATGTGCGTGCGTGTGAGAGTTTTGCGCCCCTCCCCCACCCCCACCGCGTGGGTGCGCTCCACAGCAGCTCCGCGCTCAGAGCTCCGCGCTCACCGGGTCCAGCCGCACCGGGAGCCGCAGGGCGCAACAGGAAAATGACCGTGGAGAGAGTCTTCGACGAGCTCGGACATTTCAAAAGGTACAATAAATAATAACAATAATTAAAAAGAAAAAACAACTCCTGGAGTTCTCCATACTTCTAAGTTTTTCTTTTCCTCTTCTCTTAACAAGAAGAGGAAAGCCTCTCCAGCTGTGAGGCTTTTGTGGGATAAATTTGTGATTCCTGCTGCTGAGCATGTGGTTTCTAAAACCAAACTAACAATGAAAATTCACGAGTTAGACATTTTGTTTATAATCAAACATAAAAAAAACAATTTGTCTTTTGTAGTGTTAGGTTTCCACAGTGAATGTTCAGGTAATGTTGCTGTTCTTACGTCTTGTCACTAGATGGCGCTGCTGTGGCAGCACAGGGCAGAAGAGACCAGTTTTAAAAAATAGAGTAAGATACAGAAGAGACAACGTGGCCTTTTCAAACTAAATTTATATCACTGGTTTTTACATCTCCTACCTAATGAAGCATTTTTCAAATTTTATGTAATCCGTCAAAAACTGAGATTTATTTAGATTTTTTTTTTCAATATGTATTAGTACCATTTCACAGTAAGAGCCCATTTATAAATGGCTGTAAACACTTTATTAAGCACTAAAGGTATTCATTGCAAACTATAAAATCTAACAGAAAAAAGGTTTATCTGAACTATCGGATGATGTAGTTTAAAGAGTTGATTCCAGTAGTTTTCTAAATATAATGAAATGAAGGGTGATCTGAGGGTACGCACTCAATATAAACAAAGTACTTTTATCTGCATACTTTACTCAACAAACCTGTGTAAATATGCACCAACACTCAAAAATTGTCAAACTTCTTTAATCCAATTCCATGAATGTCTGCATGGTTGATTTGTTTTCAGTCATTTTGGCTGTTTCTCTAAATTTGAGCAACTTTTTGAGTAATTTTACTTCAACATATTCAATTCAAGAACACATTAACTATCCACATGAGAAATATTGTTTGGATTTCCGGAAAAAATATATTAAAAGTTCAGCTTATGACTTTGCCAACTAAACTGCGTCAATGTTTGAACAGAATTTTATAACTGATAAATAACTTTATTTTAATGTTTTATAAATGACTGTTAATGCTTTATAACATGATCACAAATGCATGAATGTGATTATACAGTGCAAAGGTTGAAAAGGTGTCTGCATTCTGGCTCATGAAACATTAAGATATGATCTTCAGAAGATGTACATAATAGCATTTTTATTTTTCTATATCGGTCAACAGAAATTAGTCTTCATAAATGCATAAAATACCGACTTTGTTGTGTCTGTTGGCGTTCCCATCATGTTTTACTGGCTTGTTAGAAGTCTTTGAACACTTCAACCAGTGAGTTTGTGGGTCAGAAGCTGAAGTGTTTGGAAAATACTTCTTTATGATCACGATCTGGTGCTTTGTTGAACCCAAAGTGCAGACAGACGCTCGGGGAACTCGAAGGAAAAATAATAATAATATTTATTAAATGAAAACAAAAGGCAGTTAAACTTACCTACTGTATATGAACAAGAAGACACAGAGGGAGACAGAACATGACCCCTTTTCAGGACAATCCACCGACAGGGGAACAACAAGGAGAAATGAGGGAATAATTACAAACACCGGGGGGAGGACAGTGAGGGACGGGTTACTGCCTCGTATGTTGCCTTCTTTTCTTTAGTGTGTTTCTGTCTTTCCAGATTTCAGGCATGTCTGTATTTTGCTGCCATCTTCCAGGCCACTGCGTGTGGAATCCACTACCTGGCCTCCGTCTTCCTGGTCGAGACCCCAAACTTCGTGTGCGGGGTGCCCGGCAACGTCACCGATGTCCTGTACGGTAACATCACAGGATCTCGTTTAGAGGAAATCCTGCCGCTCATCGGGTTAGGGAGTGGACCCCTGGTGGTGAGGACAGCTGAGGGGGAGCAGTGGGAACTGAGCCGGTGCCGCTGCGCCCTGCGGACCGACCCAAAAGACTTCACCTATGAGTTCAGCGGCAACAAAACAGTGATGGAATGCAGCGGGAACTTTGTTTACGACCACACCGAGATCCACCAAAGCATCGTGACGGACTGGGACTTGGTGTGTGACGGAGAGTGGTTGGCCAAGCTGTGCCAGCCCACGTTCATGCTGGGGGTGCTGATCGGAGCGCTGGTGTTCGGGGACAGTGCTGACAGGTAAGGACTGGTGTAGAAAACTGCACCTTTACACCATTCATGCAGTCAAACCTTGAGACACGTCTGCACTTCTGCTTCTGAACGAAAGCTTCTCTCAGGCTGAGAGGGTTTGTAAAAAGAAGCCATGAGAGCTGCAAAGCTTTAAATATGCTTCTTAGAAAAATTAATGAGGATGACAAAATGAAAAAAAAAAAAAAAACTGGGGACAAAAGGTTAGGACTGACAGAATGGGAGTGGAGCGAGTAGGAGACAGATACGATGACAAGGCCAAACAGCTGGTCAGCGTTTTGAGAAGAGCACGTGTGCACGTCTGTCTGTCCAAACCTGATGCAACGCTTCTAGCAGCTCTGAGCTTCTAAACTCGGTTTTGCTTGAACCAGTTTGCTTTTCTGCTGAGGAGTTCACTGTCTGTGCCGTCCAGTTTGCATGCTTATAGGGGCCAACTGTTTATTTTAACGATGATCGCAGGGGCGGGAACTGACGGTGCATTTATGACAAACTAAAAATCAGACTTTCCAACTTCGCTGTAAGAACAAAACCCTCTGTTATGTCTGATCTCGCAGGTGAGATCTCAGTATTAAAGTGGGCGGCTGCGGCTGATAGAGCAGTCGTTCTTCAATACGAGAGTTGGGGGTTCGATTTCATCCGCAGTCACATGCTGAAGTGTCCCTGGGCAAGACACTGAACCCCTCATTGCCTCCGATGTGTGTCCCATCGGTGTTTGAATGTGGTAAAGCTCTGATTATTTTTTGTATAGATCTAGAGTGCTGTATGAATGGGGAAATGAGGACACAGATTGTAGCGTAAAGAACTTTGAGTGTCTTGATCAGATAGAAAGGTGCTATATAAGTACGGTCCATTTAAATTTAAAGTTTTGGACAGTTAATATCTTACCTGCTGTTGTTAGCTCTTTGAGTTTCTTCAGTTTGTAAAATGAGAGTTTGATGCAGGAGCTAATGGTCTGAGTGGGAAACCCTGAAAATATCAAACTGAAGATGTCAAAGTTGATAGAATATCATTTGCACAAACTGAAATCACATTCTTGTGGTTGAAGTTGTTTGAAGATGGTGGCACAGAGGTTACAGAAGGTGGGCCTGTAAAATGTAGGTTACTGGTTAAACTCCCCGGACCGACAACATCAAAATGTGGGTGGGAAAGGTGAAGCACCCACACCTGCCTCCACCCTCATTCACCCCACTCTGTGCTCTTGAGCAAGGCCCTTAACTCCCACCATCATCTCCCCTGTGCGCCCTAGATGGCAGCTCTCTGCTCCACTCAGAGGGCTGTGGTAGCTCGGTGGTCTGCGGTTGTGTCAGGAAGGACATCCGGAGTAAAAACAGTTGCCAAGTCTTTGTGTGAGTTAGTTCTCTGTGGAGACCCCTGAAGAAGGGAGCAGCCGAAAGAAGGAAGACAAAGAAAAAAGAAATAAAGAAGTTGTATTAAGATGTCTACTATGGTCTTGTCCCCACTTGGACCAGCCTTTAGCTTGTTAATTCAGTCAAAAATAAAAAAACTAAATCTGTTTCTTCAAATAAGGCGCTATCTACAGCAGGTAAGACAGTATTTGTTCATAACATTTCCGCTGAACTTCACTCAAAAAGTTTTGAACTATCACTGTATGTGATCTATTTGAACTGATAAAGAAAATTAGCAGTTAAATAGCAAAACTAATAATTAGAGTAATTGAGTTTTGACTCTTGAGGTTTTGTGTGTAAGAGAAAAACAAGAAGACAGCTGTGATGTAAAAACTCCGAACTATCAAAGCCCAAACATGGTATGTTGTTTCTTTTCTGAGTTTTTAAGTTGGTAGAAACTTTAGATGCCAAAGGATACACTCTCATATGTAGAAAACATTTTTTCTTTCCTTTGAAGAACAACTTGTAGCTGCAGTCCATCTAAAAACGTCATATATGATGCATGATGTTACAGCGGGGAATTCCCTGCAACAATATAAGCTCATCTAAAAAAGTTAAATCTGGTCCTCTGGACATTCAAAAAAACAAACTTGGTTGTCAGCAGCAAAACTGGTTGATCCACCCTGAGACGGTGCTATTTAAGAGACTGAGCTGAATACAGCTCCTCAGACTGAGGAAGTCTCTCGGATGAGAGACGAAACGTTTCTACATTTTTTTGTTGATTTGCTTTGTTTTGTTTTTTTGAATGTCCAGAGGACCAGATTTAACTTTTTTAGATTTTTCTACCTGGATTATTGAGCATGCATCAGAATATAAGCTCATATTTATGGATCACTCATCCGAACGTTGCTTTTCCTGTATTCTGTGTTTGTCCCGTGTCTCTCTCTGTCCTGACTGTAATTTTTCCCAACAGGGTTGGTCGTGTGAAGATTCTGATGTTTACAAGCCTCTGTCAGTTTGGACTTGGGGTGTTGGTAGCGTTCTCTTATAGCTACTATTTTTTCTTGGCGCTTCGCTTTCTGCTTGCCATGGTGAGTTCAGTGTAAAATAAATTTTAAAAAGCACACACTTCATTGTACCTGCCTGTTTAAAATATGGCTTAGTTTTGGACTTATTTTAGCACAAACATGGACAAAAAGTGGACATTTCTTCCTAAAATCTGACATTTCAACAGCTGAGTTCACTCTGAGCCACAAGTTTAAGCTGTTTAAGCAAAACAGCCATATTCACGCTGTAAACCTGCTGCTGTATTTAAATATATGCATAAAAATTACCCTTATGCCATGTGTTAGGAAGCTCTGAAGGCAAACTTTTCATGTGTGCTCATAAAGTGGTAGAAAAAAGTAAAAATGTAATTTTAACAGTATTTTTATGTAAAGTGGGCATTCATTTAGCACACTGGTTCATAGAGTACCTAGATACTGAGAAACCACCTTTTAAATACTTCCCTTAAAAGTCTGCAACATCCTGCAAGGATCACACTGCAAGTAGATGTCAGTTTGAACGTGGGCTGTTTATCTTAATAACATTTTGTTAAATGTTTCCTAAAGTTTAAGAACAAAGAAGATACTTTGGTCACACTGGGTTTAAACCAAAGCAAATGCTTTGAACAGACCAAATACAATATCATTAGAAAATGTCAAATAAAAAATAAAGAAAATGGATGTAGATCAAATGAGTGAAAAGTGACTTTTATTCACTAAGAGAATTCAGCGATGAAACACAATGATGGTTAAGTCTTTCTGCTACTGAACTAGTAAAAACCCACTGGTCATCTTGGTGGTTCATTGCATTAGCCTTGCTTGGCTCAGTCATAAAGTTGTCAAGATGTAGCTTTATTTAAAAATATATATATATATTACACTCATGCCTGCAACATGATAGCTGCTGTTTAAATGTCTGGAAGTTATTAATTTAGCAGTCCACCGACAGAAACGCTGTAAATTCTGACAGGGTGCTCATGAATACAGTTCACCTCTTCAAAAGTTTTATAAAAACTGTAAGCCTATTAAAATGATCAGCAGTGTGAAACAATGTTTGTAATGCAGATGCAGCGAAGCAGTAAGTTTACGTGCTCCAGAAACACATTTAACTGCTCTGTATCGCTGCCAGCAGGAAATAAACTCGTTTCTTCCTGGTAGTTTGTCAGCGACGAAGGCTGTGGGAAGTAGGGGTGTGATGGGTGCTGCCGATGAGTACCAAAGTTAGTGAAATATTGGGGGAATAACAACTAACATTAATGCTGTAAATGTGTGTAATTCAGCACTGGTACATTTGGGTGTAAAATTTTACAGCAAGCTACGAAAAAAAGGATTAGATTCACATTCAGACTATCGTGTTCTGCCGTAATGTTGAACCCAAGCGCAGACATGGGAAAACTCTAAGGTAAAATTAAAGAGTTCAATTCATGAACAAAAAATGAAGGCTAACGTGGCAGCAAAAACATTTACAAAAATCTAGAGCAGGGAAAACGCGGAGGAACAGAACATGAACGGCTGTGAGAAGCACAATCCCCGAACAAGGAGGCCACTGAATTTAAAGGGACACTAACAAGACACAATGACACAATTTTAATTTTGATTTCGTTATTGATTTGCTCGGCCTATAAAACTCATAGATGGGCTGCATTGAGACCGGTCAGGTCCGATCACATTGTTATGATGATTTGACCAGACCCGCCCTGCAGAGAAAACTCCGCCCCCTAATTTGAATATAAGAACATGACATAAAAAGAGCTTCAAATGAAAAACAGGGTTAAAAAAATAAACGCCCCTGAAATATGTAAAGTTGCTTTACAAAATAAAAGTGTCACAAAATGAAACTCCATGATTAAATGAATAAATCTTGAAATAAATAAAAAATAAATATTGGGAAAAACTAAACATTTCTATTTAAATGTTGTATTTCATGAGAACATTTATTTATATAATGGAATATTTATTGATATTTTTTAAATAACACTATTCATTTATTTATTAAATTTTGAATGAAATGGCTCTCCATAATGACAAGCACCTGGAGAAAGACAGTGAGGGACAGGTGAGAGTGGCAGGAGCTGGAGCTGACGACATGAGGAGAGAAACACCTGAACAAACGACACGAGAAAACAGAACTAAGACACAAGGATCTCCAAATGTAACGAACACACAAAGTCATGATTGCAGTTTTATGGATATAGTTTTTTTCCCCCCCCAAATATACACCATGAACCCATATTTTTCTGTTCATAACTCTCAGACAAAGCTTCAGTTATTAACTACCACCTGAGTAACCATGAGGGACGCTCAAAGAGCAAAGCGTACCTGAATTTATATCATAAATTTTCCATCTCTTGTTGAGTGCAGTTCTACGTTTTAGCCCACGCTTTAAGGTGAAACACAGAACGTTCCCATACTGTACGTCTTCCTACTGAAATGAGATCCTTGTGCTGGTCTCGCTGAGTTGGCTGCAGCTATAAAAACAGGACCACGCTGAGTCATAAGGAAGGCACGCGGGTTCAGTCTGAACTTCATGTTAAAGTGTCTGTTTCCGTTCACAGAAAATTGCATAATGTTTACAGTATGTGCAGATGAACATGCTGAGAAGGAAAGGGGCTTCATGGCTGGATGTGCGCATGCTGAAAGGAAACCGCTAAGCAATTTTTCTCCTCCATCTTCAACCATCTGACCCTTTCCTGATCAGTCACAGCTGTTTGTCCTCATAACTTTAAAGCATGACGTAAGCCACCATTTTTAGCTTTAAAGCAGGACTGTATGACTTTTAAACAATACAAAGACACAAATGAAGCTGTGTACACAAAGATTATTTATGGCATTAATGTCAATAATGTCAAGAAATTTAAAACAAACATAAAAAAGTAATGACTCTTGTGTTTAGCATTGAGCCTTTTTGAGTGTTTTATTCTTGTGGGAGGAGCAGGAAAACCAAAAAGCTGAATATGTGGTCTGGAATAGAAGACAAGCGCAGCTTTAAGGTTTAACAAGCAGACAGTGAGCTTTTAGTGGCGCAAAGTGCTCCTAAATGGTTTTTAACAAATGACCCTGAACATTGCTGCTCATGCATCTGTTTCTCCCATCTCTCCTCTTCCATCTCCTTTTCTTCTTGTATCCTTTCTTTCCTCCATCCTCACCTTGCTGTTAACAGGTATCCAGCGGCTACCTGGTGGTGGTGTTTGTATACGTTACAGAGTTCACCGGCAGCAAAGTACGCACTTGGACCTCCATGCACGTCCATGCAGCCTTTGCAGTCGGCATCATGGTGGTGGCTCTGACTGGTTACCTGGTCCGGGTCTGGTGGCTCTACCAGATCATCCTCTCCATTTGCACTTCACCCTTCCTCCTCTTCTGCTGGAAGTTCCCTGAGACGCCTTTTTATTTGATGGCCAAAGGCCGCTACAAGGAGACTCAGACCCTGTTGGACACCATCGCTCGCTGCAACGGCCTCGAGTGCAGGCTGCAGGCGGAGGAGCTGCTGCAGCCGGAGAGGAAGGAGAATGGAGAAGCTCTGCTGAAGCAGGATGTAGAAGAGAAGCCGACACAGCCTGAAAAGAAGCTGTCCATCCTGGATCTGTTTGGCAGCTGGAGGATGACGAGTCGAACTTGCACAGTTTGGGCAATCTGGTTCATCGGCAGCTTGGGCTACTATGTATTCTCTTTAGGCTCCGTCAACCTGGGAGGAAACCAGTACGTCAACCTCTTCTTGGCTGGTGAGCGATTACTAGAAGTGCTGTAATGTATACAAACATGTGGTAGTGTTGTAAACTTAATAAATCTACATAGACTTATATTTGAGATAAATTTATGTTATCAGCAGCAATTTTATGCTTTTGGACCATTTTTGACAAAAAAAACAAGTCATTTTTAGAAATGTTGGGGGTTGCATTTATTATTATATTTACTGTAATTTCTGGACTATAAGTTGCTACTTTTTTCACACGCTTTGAACATCGCGGCTTATACAATGCTGCGGCTAATTTATGGATTGTTTTTTGACGGGCTAACAAGCTTCATGCCACCAAAACATTTAGTCTCGTCACATAGTTTCCCAATACATATCTCTCTTACATATCTCTCTTGGGGAGGGGGGGGGGGGTCCTTGTGATTCAATGATTACCTGTGTAATTTTAGGTAAAAAAAATCTGACCAATGAAATTAGCAAACAGGTCACAGTGGAACAATGAAACTTGGGGGGTGGGGGGGGGGGGGGGGCGATAGATGAAGCTTTTGTCCATGGGTACTCATGTCCCAGGAGAAATTTGATAGTCAGCCTGTCTCCGAGGCCATTAGGAGTCAAATTAGATAAGCTTAATTTTTGTTTTTCTTCAGGCAGACAGATTTTTTTCTTCAGCCTTGAGTCCATCTGGGCGTTCTGGTTCCGAAAAAGCCTAATTGTGGAATTTCATTTCACTGATCCATGCTATGAGTCTCCTTCAAGGTCGAACCCACCATGCTGACGAGTCACAGAAGCGGTGGTCTGCGATTCTCAATCGCCTCCACCTTACGGTTAAGCCGTAAACCAGACGATTTAAAGTTCCCACAGCGAGGACCAGATCTTCGCACTGATTCGGAAGATTTTCCATGGCCAAAACTGCTGCCGCTGTCTTCTTCAAAAGTCGATAAAACAGAGCCCCGCCGATGCCAAAAAGCAGAGTCCCTGCTATCATAAGTCCAAATATGTAAACGTCTTCAACATCCTCTTGAGACAGGACTGTAATGCAAGTTGAAGACAGCATTCAATGACTTTCCTGGTAGGCTCCTGTATCTATTTATTTTTTAACCAGCCTTGTTGCAGGCACTGTTCAGAAAAAAAAAACATTCACTGTACATATTTATGTATGTTACTGGTACATATTTATTTAAAAGTTAAAAAAAAAATCTTTCTGTGCAAATATCTCATGTTACACCGTGGACACCCTCGGCTTATAGTGTGTACAACAGCAAAATTTGTTTTCTTTCTAAACTTAGTGGGCGTGTCTTAAATTCAGGCGCACTCAATAGTCTGGAAATTATGGCATTTATATTATTAGTATTTTATTTTTGTTTCATTCCATTTATTGCTCTTTTGTGAGGATGAGCTCTCTCAGATCAACAAATTTGTTTTTGGCTGCCACCACATAAAGTGAGCAATTTTTTACTTGTGTGTATTTGTTTGTGTGTCAGCAAAATATTTTATATCATACCATCAATCCATCCATCCATCCATTATCTTTACCCGTTTATTCCATTTTGGGTCACGGGGGTCGCCGGTGCCCATGTCCAGCAATCACTGTGCGAGGGGCGGGGTACACCCTGGACAGGTCGCAAGTCCATCACAGGGACACATAGAGACAAACGAGACAAACAACCATTCACTCTCTCACTCACACCTAGGGACAATTTAGAGTTACCAATCAGACTAACATGCATGTTTTTGGTCTGTGGGAGGAAACCGGAGTACCCAGAGAAAACCCACGCATGCACGGAGAGAACATGCAAACTCCACCCAGAAAGGCCCCTGGACCGGGGTTTGAACCAGGGACCTGTTCGCTGAGAGGCCAGAACTGTTCAGTGATTTAAAAACATACATGAGTATTTTGAACTGGATCCGAAGGTGGATGGTTAGCCAGTGCAGGGAGGCCAAAACTGGTGTAATGTGCTCTCTATGGCCTGTACCAGTTAAAAATCGGGCAGCAGCATTTTGGACCAGTTGTAGACGTGCAGTGGAGGACTGACTGATTCCAAACAGAAGCACATTGCAGTAATCGAGCCTGGATGTTATGAACACATGGATCACTGTCCCAAGATTCTTTTTGAACAATATGGACTTCAGCTTAGATAACCGCCTCAGCTGAAAAACAAAGGATTTAACAATCATGTTTACGTGACGTCCGTCCGTCCGTCCGTCCGTCCGTCCGTCCGTCCGTCCATCCATCCATCCATCCATCCATCCATCCATTGCGGTCAAAGCCGCGAGCTCTCCAGCGTTCCACCTGCACCAGCTGAGTGAAGCGAGTAAACACGCGAGGACTTGCGGTTGCAGTTATTCTAAATTTAAAGCATCAGTCAAAATTGTGTTATGAATATGGAAAAAAAACTCGTGTATATAAGTTGCTTCGGCATACAAGTCGCAGGACTGACAAATCTATGCAACAAACTGCGACTTACACGCTGGAAAATACAGTAT